ATCTTCGATTCCAAAATGGCGTTGAACATCGATTTTTGGCATCTACGCGTCGTATCCGTTCCAGAAATACCTATATGGTAGGGTATATAATACTTTCTTTTCTGAACCCATATTGAAGGCTATATGATACTTTTTTGAACCTGATGGCCACCAAATTGGATTCCAAAATGGCATCGAACATCGATTTTCGGCATCGACGCTTCGTCCAATTTCCGAAAATAACCATATTGTAGGGAATTTTACTCTTTCTCTGAACCCGGTCGCCATCTTGGATTTCAAGACAATGTCAAAAATCGATTTCCAGTCTCTAGATGTCACCCCAACTCCCAAAATACCTATATTGATGGGTAATTGACAGTATTTCACACTTTTTCTGAAGCAAAAACTGCCATCTTGTATTTCATAATGGCGTCGAACATCGATTTCCGACCTCTAGATGTCACCGCGATTCCAAAAATACCCATATTGATGGGTATTTGAAAGTATTTTACACTTTTGCTGAAATCAAAACCACCATCTTGGATTTTAAAATGGCATCGGATGTCGGTTTCTGTCCTCTAGACGTCACTCGGATCTCGAAAATATTCATATTGATGGGTATTTGACAGTATTTCCCAGGTTTTCTGAAACCAGAAGTCGCCATATTGGATTTTAAGATGGATTCTGACATCAATTTTCGGCATCTACGTGTCGTCCTCGTTCCGAAAATACCCGTACCCAACCATCATCCGGATTCCAAAAATACCCCATTGGTGGAACTTTGACAGTATTTCCGTATTTTTCATGAACTGGAAGCTTCCATCTTGGATTTCAAATTGTCTCTAGTCGTCACCCAAATTCCAAAAATACCCATATTGATAGGTATTTGACAGTATTTCCTATTTTTTTTATTAAACTGGAAGCCGCAATCATTGATTTCAAAATAGCGTCGGATATCGAATTGCAGCCTCTAGTTATCACCCCGATTTCGAAAATACCCATATTGATGGAAATTTTTCTACAGCCAGAAGCCACCATATTGAATTTCAAAATGGCGTCGAATATCGATTTCCTATCTCAAGACGTCACTCCGGTTCCAAAAGTACCCATATTGATGGGGGTATGTTCCAGTATTTCCATATTTTCTTAAACTTGAAGCCGCCATCTTTGATTTCAAAATGGCGTCAGATATCGATTTCCTATCTCAAGACGTCACCCCGATTAAAAAAAATACCCAAAATGATGCCCGCATAAATGCGAACCATTACCTGACCTTACCAAAAATGGTTAAAAATTGTTTATAATCCCTGCTAAACTTTAACTGAAATGGTTATGGAACTTTGTGTGATAAAGGTTTAACCTTATGTATTATGGTTCTTTGGAAGTGCACCTTACAAATAATGGGTTGTTAAGAACCATTACCATTCCAATTTTTTGTTTCCTCCATACATTTTCGGAAAAGGAATTATATTAGAACCTTTTTACTTATGTTTGAGAACTTTAATGGTAATGGTTATGGTAGTCAGTAAGGTCCATGGATGGTTTTGTAACATCGATAAACTTTATGTGGAATATTTCGTGAATTGGTTGCCTGTAAATTAAGGCTTACCGATTCGCGATACATTCCACGTAAAGTTGACCGATAGTTATGCACGAGTACGGATTTCCGGACAAACTGACGCGATTGGTCAAGGCGACGATGGATCGAGTGATGTGCGTTGTTCGAGTATCGGGGACACTCTCGAGTCCCTTTGAATCTCGAAGGGGGCTACGGCAGGGTGATGGACTTTCGTGTCTGCTGTTCAACATCGCGTTAGAAGGTGTGATCAGAAGAGCTGGGATAGACACGAGTGGCACGATATTCAGGAAGTCCATCCAGCTCCTTGGCTTCGCCGATGACATTGACATTATGGCACGGAACTTTGAGATGATGGCGGAAACTTACATCAGACTGAAGGCTGAAGCTAGACGGATTGGACTTTCCATCAACGCATCAAAGACAAAATACATGAAAGGAAGAGGTTCTAGGGAAGACAATGTTAGCCTCCCACCCCGAGTTCAGATTGACGGTGACGGAATCGAGGTGGTCGATGAGTTCGTGTATTTGGGCTCACTGGTGACCGCCGAAAATGATACCAGCAGAGAAATTCAAAGACGTATTATGGCAGGGAATCGTGCCTACTTTGGACTCCAGAGGACGCTCCGGTCGAATAAAATTCGCCGCCGCACGAAGTTAACTGTCTACAAGACGCTGATTAGACCGGTGGTCCTCTACGACCACGAGACCTGGACTATGCTCGTGGAGGACCAACGCGCCCTTGGTGTTTTCGAACGGAAGGTGAACGTGGAGGAGGCGAATGAACCACGAATTGCACCAGCTGCTGGGAGAACCATCCATCGTCCACATTGCAAAAATTGGGCGACTACGGTGGGCTGGACACGTCGTAAGAATGCCGCACGACGAACCAGTGAAAATGGTTCTAGAAAGTGACCCAACAGGAACAAGAAGAAGAGGCGCGCAGCGGGCAAGGTGAATCGACCAAGTAGAAGGTGCGAGGCTGGCGAACTGTGGCCATGGATCGAGTAGAGTGGAGACGACTTCTTCGGACAGCAGAGGACAACAAGGCCTTAGTCTGATTGGTAAGGTAAGTATAGTTCTCTTTCCGAAAATGTATGGAGAAAACAAGAATTTGAAATGGCAATGGTTCTTAACAACCCATTATTTGTAAGGTTCACTTCCAAAAAACCATAATACATAAGGTTAAAACTTTATCACACAAACGTTCATGTAAAGTGCCATAAGCATTTCAGTTAAAGTTTAGCAAGGATTATAAACAATCTCAACCATTTTCGGTAAGGTCAAGTTATGGTTCGCGTTTGTGCGGGTGTCTATTTGACCGTATTCCCCAAGGGGTAGGTCACTCCGCACACCAGTCTTGAGTCATGTTTTTTGACAGTGTGCCTCAATTGTGCCGCAGATGTGCCAATGGTGCTGGTCATGTTTGTGTGCCAATGGCTGCGATTGTTTGTAAAATATCTATCAGCGTAACCCGGTATTTCTGACACCTTGATTGTTTTGGTTAGAAATCGCGAAGATCAATCGGATTGAGGATGACGCGTATTGGTGGATGTGCGAAATGTTGGTGTTTTGTGTTCATAGGATAATAAAAGTTCTGTGTTTTAGGGTTTTATAATGCCCTCAAAGGCAGACCAGAAAACTAGCCTTTCGTGATGTGAAAAGCAACGGTCTATCAGCGGCCGGTAAGAGTTGGAACCGGTGGGGAAATTGTTGGAGACCGGCTATAGTTTGTCTTGTGTGAGTTGTTCTCTTGAGACTACTCTAGAACCTACATTAGATACATAAGTGATCTTCTGATCTGAGTTCCTCAGTCAGTCAAACAGCACGTAATGTTGTGAACAACCTCAATGACAGTTGTTCAGCAGTGCTCTCAATGTATTTACAATAATCCAATGCCTACAAGATTGTGCCGATGGATGTGCTCAAGCTGTGCCGAATCTAATTTCGGCACAATGTGCTGAGTAACTTACCCCTTGGTATTTTCTTATTTTTCTTAAACCAGAAGCCGACACCTTTGATTTCAAAATGGCGTCGGATATTGATTTCGCTTTTTTCAAATGTATTAAAATTTAAGGTATTTTTTTTTTAATATTTGAATTTTAACACTTTTTTAGGATTTTTCCTCCACATTACTAAACAAAATTTCGAAGGAAGACTTAACTTCTCTCAAAAGCTTTGTCTCAGACGACCTTTCGATCAGAAATGACGTGTTTGTGCTACAATTTATTGAGAAAAAAAATAATTACAATATCCAACATGGCCTAATTTTTACAAAAATGTGAATGATTGCCCACAGCAAACAATTATGCAAAGTTTCATGCAAATCGGAGCAGGACGAGTCAAAATAATAATTATTTATTTTCGAGCAATTTAACCTGGAACTTGGTTCGATTTCGCTTTATTATTTAGCCATAGCCATGAAATCTTGCTTTTATCAACTGTCATGAGGATCACAAAGATATTTGACTTACTTGACGTGTATTTATCTTAAGTGGACCCTACACGATTGCTTTTATTGACAATAATCGTATTGTCAATACATTCAATATTGACGTCAATACATCGGTATGGACAATATTTCTGTATTCACATCATCAATATTATTGTCAATAATTCCCCTTCGCGTCAATACGTGTGGGGTTGGCTGTAAGAGGGGGAGACATACAAAAATGTATTGACGATTGTCTACGCAGGAGGACCCCCGTCTGAAACCTCTCAAAAACTGGCAACGTAAAGTCTGGAACGCGCAAAAATTGATCAACTTCAAATTGGTGTATTTATGTTTAAGAAAACATAAAAAAGAAACCGGTCCCGAAAGCTGTATACGAATCTGCTCACAAATTTCTACTGTGTCGTCATGGACGACGAAACTTATGTGAACGCGGATTTGAAGCAGCTTCCGGGACAGGAGTTTTATACCGCATCAGGAAAAGCGGTATTGAACTACCAAATGAAAAATAAGAAGATTTTTGTGATATGAATTTTGACTGAAAGAAACGATTTTTTTGTCGACCAATTTTTGCGCGTTCCAGTCTTTAGTTCATGAACAGGCTCCTAGCGCAATCTTAAAAAAGCGCGGTTGAAAACAAGCAGGCCGCGGCAAATCAAAAGTGACTTGTTTTCAACCGGCAGCTCACTATAGTGTTCGTGAGATCCCGGGGGAGAAGTCTTTAACCGTTCGCACAAGTCAGTGTGAAATTTTGCACACTATACACGTTTCGAACGATGGCAATGTCCCACATCAATCAATGATGGTTCATGTTACAACTGGATTTACTGACAAATTTACTGGTCGAGCACCTATCAGCAATAAAAGTGCCACACGATTGGTTGTTTTATTCGTGACATGACGTCAACACTCAATGCGTGGTGGATGGAATGTATTCCACTTTTTAATTAAAAATAGGATGCTTCACGTTCAAGTGTTTGCTAGTTTACTTACGTTCTTTGTCGTTAATCTTCATTTTATCCAGCCGCGAGTCGTCCTTATCGTTGTAGATGATTACCCCGGCGGCACCGTGGATGTATGCATGCTTAACTTTCTCCTCAAAGTTGCAGTTGCCCCGCTTGATAAGGGCGATCCACGAGATTCCTCCGGCGGGCAGCGGTTGCCCTCCGGTCCCGTTCCAATCCTTGGTACACCCGGTGTGATCTTCCGGCTTGTCCGATTTGGTCACATGAACCAGCAGACCGGTTCGATTCAGGACCCGCCCTTCTCCGTACTTGCCGATGACTTCACCTTCGTGAATTTCCAGCCCATTGCTGTCGGTGTAGGAGTAGTTCAGGTAGGCAAGGGTATAGCTATCGAATGCCATTCGGTCCTCGGCGGGAAGGGCAAAGGACGACACACCGTTCGAAAACTCGGTCGGTTGGGAGAATGACGCTAGGTCATGGTTCGGAGAGGAATTGGCTGCCACTAGGGAGGCACCCAACAGCAGCGATAGAAAGTTGTTCATGTTCACCTGATGGCTTAGTGCCGACATTTTTCTGCTCATCTTCTTCTTCGTCTTCTTCTTCTTCTTCTTCTTCTTCTTTGTTTTCTTCCGTACACTACCGTTAGCTTGAGAACGTCGTTTGGGAACTAAAAGCTACGCTGGATGTCACACACGTCGTAAGCGTGTCTTCTTCAGCAGCACAACAACGAGAACATGTCGACCTTGGTCGATGTGTGATTTGACCCGATGCTACCACGTCACTGTGATACTACGCAGAAAACAAAACAAGAATGCGACCACTACACTCGATTGGTACCGTCGTTGTAATCACAGAGCAGAAAGTGCTGCTCCATCAGGTCGTCGTGATGTCAGGTTGAGGGGGATTGATAAGCACTCTCGCTTTCTCTACCCTCGCCTGCCGCTTGATAAGCGCAAAGCTCACTCTCACACACAGGACACCGCGATTGATAAGCGAATTTTTTCTTTCGCGAACTGCACGGGCTAATTGAAACCTGGGGACGATCAACATTTATCACTGACTCGCGAAACACTGAACGCTCGTACAGGAACAAAAAAAAAACCACGGAAAAGAATGTTTTTCTTCAACTTCTGCCTTTCTTAAAATAACCGCCCACACAATCAGCAGACGTGTGTGTACTAGACTAGTTAGACTATGGGGACGCGCGCGCGTTTGTTTGCTACTTTTTAAGGGACTTTTTCACACGACCATAAAGGAGGCGAGGGGACGTCTTCTTCGCGTCAATTCCGCTGACAACAACAACCACTGCACGCGGCGGTTGGAGCTCTTCGAAATTCTACGACAAACAACTAACTGGGGACTGTGGATGGAGGTCGTGTGTCGTCGAAAAGGGCTAATTGAATGCGAATACACACTCTCTACGTTTTTCTACCTCGCACCACCAAACTCCACTCCCTGTCCACTTTCTGGGAATTGTTGGGGCAGGGCTAAAAGCTAGTGGCGAGTATTATCAACTGGGCTGTTGTTGTTGTTATTATAAACACCACGATTCGGTGATGACCCTTCCCTTCACTTCACGCAGCTGCTGCTACTGCCGCTGCTGAACTTGAATGGGGCTTCCGAAATGCTGATTCTAGCTATTCAGCGCTTCCAAGCGGCCACGGACGGCGATGTTGGGTGATGATGTAACTCGCTTGACTCGATCTGGAAAAATACGGCAAATAAAGAGGAAAGTACGGAACGGTTAGTTAAATACGTCATCATTCTGCGCCGTCGGGTGTGTGAACGGCACCCATAGGCTGGTTCGGGTTGGGGAATTGTTTGGAATATGGTGATTACAGAATAAATTATTTAATGAGTTCAGAATCGGAGCGAGTCATGGGTGTGTTTTTGATTCCCATATCAAGGTAAAATTAATTAATCCTCAGTAAAAACACTGAGGCGCACGACTGCATGGAGCAGAATGAGATGTCAAGTCTTTTGTGTTAAGGGTGTCCCACATCAAATTGCATCACGGAAAAAAACGATGTAGAAAATTACCTATTTCACGGAGAGAAATCCCCTTATACCTTTTGGCAAATTTCCATTGCCGATTATTCATAAAATGTATAAATTAACTAATAAGCAGACGCATTGCAAAAAGTTAATGAAGATCATATGTCAAATGAAATGTATAAATGGTCACACATACAGTTTATGCGTTCTTATAGGACGTATGTGGGTTGTCTTATGAAATGTATAAGGCTGGTATTTTGGCAAAAATGTATAAGTGAAATACACGAATAAAATAATTAATTTTCGTTTCGTGTTGACCGATCCTTTTCAAATTTTCAGACAATAAAATATAACCCATTTGTAAGCTCTTGGCCAAGGGGTGAGACAGATTTACTCTGAGTTGCTTTTTTTGCAGCGAGTAACTCGCGAGTAACTCAATATTGTCTCTGTCTACTACGTTTACTCTTTTTAAACATAGGTATACGTCTCATATTAGACGTTAGTTTTGTTTGTAAATAAAGTAATCCCAAGTGTATCCTGAGCCTTTCAAATAACTGGAATATTAAGGTTCTACAAAGGGTAAGTAATTTTGTGTTCTTCTTCTTTTTTAAATATCATAAAATCATCATCATTAGTTTACACATACATTCATTTATTATGAATACGAAAATTTAAAACTTGTATTTCGTGGGTAAAACACGAAAATTTCCTAAGTAAAACACATTCACTGTATTTAATTACTTGTGTTCTTCGAAGTATAGCACAATTAAACGCAATCGAATACACGAAACTCAAAACAACTGCTTCACAAAACTCTTGGTGAACAAAATTCATCACAAAGAAAACCATTTCTACTTTACTGCTTTGCTAGCAATCGTGAAAGTATCATTGAAACAGCGGTGCCAGATGTTATGCCTCTAGCAATGAATTTAAGTTTATTAAAACAATTAATTGCGAAGTCTGCCTTATTAACATAGATGAGTGGATGTATTTAATGGTGGATAAATATCAAAAACTGATTAAATAAAACATAAATGACAATTTTAAACATTTTACCGGTCCAATTAAAAAAGTCACAGAATATTGAATTCAACACTAAAAGGGTTGATGGCAGCAGTGCACGTAGCCTGTTATACACTTTCCCGCTCAGAGGTGTAAACAAACTTGCATACAGCGCAGTCTGGCAGTGCTTATGTTTTGTCTGCTACATTCTTATCCACTAGATAGTGTGACATCACATTTGCTGTTGTATTGAAATGAAGGAAGAAAAGAGATGGTTAAGTTTTCCTCACCATACCAGTTGATATTTATGAAAAATGGGCAGTTTTGGCGTGGGGACATGCACTTCCAATGAATTTTACCAATACATTTAGAAAATGATGATCGAAGAATATTTCAAAAAGAAGAAGTAAACAAAATAATGACCCTTTGTAGAACCTTAAGGAAGAACCTGTGCCGGTGCTTGCTTACTAACAATAACAACCTACACTTCCAACGAGCTTTAAGGGTTGTTCTTCCTTCTCAGCAACCAGGCCCAGTCGTCACTCCGAAAGGATCATCTCTGATCACAAAAGCTCTCAAATATTCTTCTAAAAATCTGGAATTCCACCTATAATGCAGCGATCCCATCATCTTCGATTTCTCCAGTCGTAACAGCAGGCCCATTGGAAAAGCCATTACCAGTCAATGTGGTAATAACTAACTCCGATCCTCTTTCGACTAACATTCCCGTTGGCACCATGGCAAACATTTAGTAGTAAGCAATATTTCAACCATGGCCCCTCCAACGGCACCCACTGCCACAGTTTTCGGTATAGAAAATATCTCCCCGGTGGGGCAACAACCGATTAACACCCAATTCCAGCTCCGAAGACAACGCTACAAACCATTAACCCGTGGAATGTTCAGCCAGAGCGTCAGTCCAGCCGCTGCCACAGCCGAACCCGAAGAGGAGGATGACTTTGAAGTAAATAGCTGCTGTTTCCGATGAGTGCGATCCTCGTTTGAACTTCAAACCCATTAACGATCTACCGGACGAAACCGAAGTGAAAACCCGTCAGGAAGACAAACTGACAGATTATCTTCGTCGACTTTCTTTTCATATCCTAGAGACTTCCTCTAGAGACGGCTGCTGCAAAATCTCGGTGTTGAGATTTTGTGTATTTGGTTAGGCAGATCGGGGTTTTCTACCACATCAACCAGATAAGCATTCGAACGTCGTAAGTGTAAGGTTGCAACAGGTTCCTTTCACGTTCACGGTTGGTGAGGGTCGAACGAAAGTTATTAACCCTTCGTCTGTGCCAACAAAAACTTACGTTGTCTGTACCTTGGGGTCAATTTGACCCCAAATTCAAATTGTCATATCTCAGCGAAGGTTCAACGGAATATGGAAATTTCAAATATTTTGTAAGGTAAATTTAGTGGAATTTCTGTTTAGATTATCAAAATTCATTTTAGAGGGCGGATCTACTATAGGGAGGGGTCATTGTAAAAATATTCCCATGAAGTGGCATATTTTAATGTTAGAGGTGTTTATATCACAAGATCTCAACCAAATAGGATGTTGCTTCTTTCTGTAAAGTTGTTCAAAAATACAAGGTCTTCAAAACTATGAATAGTGTATGACAGAACTCACTCCCTAGATGGCACTAAAATGAAAATGCTCAAGTTGCGCCATCGTAAATACACATTATATAACGTTATCAACAGATCCTGCTCATATGGATGGTTCCCGTCTTCAGCAAAGTTGTTCAGATGGACAAGACCTATCTGCAAGAAAAGAGTTTAGTTCAGAATTCACTCACCAGGCACTACTAGAGTGACATTCATTTTGAACTGATTGCCTTAACTTAACTTTTGGACTAGATAGAAGGTTTCCGTCTTACGAAAAGTTGTTCATATGAACTAGAACTATGCTAAGACAAAGAGTTTAGTTCAGAATTCAGTCACCAGGCAGCACACTCATTTGAATTGTTTGCCCTGACTTAACGTCTTGATTAGATAGAAGGTTCCCGTCTTAGGCAAAGTTGTTCACATTCAAATTAGATAAGGTCTGAAACAAAAGGCAGCTTTCTGACGTTAGGCAAAAATTTTGTACACGGCGAATGAGAACGACCCAAATTTGAGTTTAGTTCACTCATAATCGCCAAAAGTGCAGGAACTCAGCGATGAGCGATGAAATATTTCAATGGACGCGGAAATCGATGATAACTTTGATGGTGACTTCTCTGATTTTGATGTAACGGATGAAGGAAGTATTAACCATGACGAGGAAATGTCTTCCGATGACGAAGAAGATGCAGACGTTACGGAACCGGATGTAGGTAACATGTTTGTGGGAAAAAAAAAGATCGTTTGTGGAGTGTTATTCCAAAAACACAACCTCCCACTGATGTGATAACACGTGATAAACGAGGATTATCCGTAAGTGCAAGAAGAGATGTGTTGAATGCGGTTGATGCCTTTAAACTGTTCAATGATGACAATATAGCAAAAATCGTCGTCTGTGAAATTACTTTCCTGTTAGTGTTTTTTTTTTTCAAAAATAATCCTGGTGGATCTTATAGAAAAGCGAAAGCTACTGATTCTAAGATATTTATGCATTTTTGGGATTGCTAATTTATGCTGAAGCATGTAAATTATGGGATGAGGAATTACCAGATTTGTGGAAGAATGATAATCGCCCTATATTCAGAGCAACTATGTCATTGATGCGATTCCAACAATTGCTACGGTTCTTAAGGTTTGATGATTTGCGTTCAAGAAAAGTCAGACTAGCCGAAGACAAACTAGCTGCATTGCGAAAAATATGGGATGTGTTCCAGGAAAATCTAAGAGCGATGTATAAACCATCACAAAACATCACTATTGATGAACAATTGGTACCCACCAGAGGTCGATGTTCGTTTTGCTAATATATGCCTGCCAAGCCTGCTAAGTACGGCATTAAGATATTTTGGTGTTGCTACGCTGATAATAGCTATCCATTGAAAGGAGAAATATACGTTGGTCGACAACCACAAGAGGCTCGAGCTCAAAATTATTCGCTAAATCTCGTTCAACGTTCATCTGAAAAAAAAAAAAATTGCTGAATACGGAAACCTTCTATTTAGTCCATGTGTTAGGTTAGGAAAACAGTTTAAAATTAATATCACACTGGTGCAACTTGGTAAGTGTTTTCTGAACTAAACTCTAATTCTGAAGATAGGTCCAGTTCATCTGAACAACTTTGCCGAAGACGGGAACCTAAGTTAGGGCAAACGATGAAAAAGTAATGCCACACTAGCGCCACCTGGTGAGTTAACTTTGATCTGAATTATTTACCATAGGATAGGTCTTGTCCATATGAACAACTTTGCCGAAGACGGGAACATTCTATCTTGTCTAAACGTTAAGTTAGGGCAAACAATATAAAATGAATGTCACACTAGCGCTGCCTGGTGAGTGCATTTTGAACTAAACTTTTTACCTTAGGAGAGATCTTTTCTATCTGAATAACTTTACCCAAGACGGAAATTTTCTATCTAGGCCGTGTGTTAAGCTAAGGCAAACAATTCATAATTGATTTCACACTAGCGCTGCCTGGTGAGTGAATTCTGAACTAAACTCTAGTTCTGAAGATAGGTGTTGTCCATCAGAACAACTTTACCCAAAACGGAAACCTTCTATCTAGTCCGTATGTTAAGTTAAGGCAATCAATGCCAATGAGT